AAAAAAAAACACATTGGATCTAGAGTCCAGACTCTTGAAAACATTGACGAGAAAAAGGACTCTTGATTCAATCAGATTTAAGCTTAAATCAAAAGGAAATCCGCTCAAATTAAGAGTCTGCACGGAGAAAAAAGATTAGTGGCTGTGACTATTCGTGGTTGGTAAAACAGGATTTAGTTTCACGCAACAGAAAAATTAGAAACTATCACTCACTGAGTTAGCGGCCTATGCTAACACGAGTTGGTAAATGATGATCTAGTGCTCCTAACTGGGACCGTGATACCACTTGACATACCGACTAGTCACAGAAACCCAACTCCTTCGCTCTCAGATTTACCAACCCAGAATAGTTGCATTGTCCACCACGTCAGGTTTGCTTACCTTGAAATCTGGTAGACAAAGACAGCACTAAGTTGTATTTTACGACCAATCTGGAACTTTCAACATACACTTATTTGAAGGTAATGCGTACTATGAAATAGGTTGCATTTCTAAAAAGTGTGGTGGGAGAATCAAATTCGAGATATTAATTCTGACGTCTATATATTTGGCGTGTGGATTAGCTAATATTGGTAATATGTAATGACGAGAGCATGTTTTTGGAGCCGGCAGTCAGCTGTTTACTTTTCCAGTGAAAACTAGTGAAAGTCAAGTGTTAGTTCAGAAATCGATCAGGCTCTATCCATTGGGTTCTTAAAGATTTAATTAAATAACAAAGAAAATAAAGTACCTGCGTAAATGAGCTAGATGAATTAAAAGTAGCAAGCGGTAAAGTATTAAGTAAAAAAAGTAATTAATTAGGTAAAATAAAAATAAATTTAAAGAAAGTACCTAATAAATAACAAAATTATATGAAATTTAGGCCTTACGAAAAAATTGCAAGTAAATTGGTATGTATCTCATAATATATTGTACATTGTCGCGGAAAAATCTTAGTTGGTTGCAGAAATTCTAGTTTTTCGTTAAAATCGAAGTTATATGCCGATTTTTCGTCGCGGTAATTATCGCTCGGTTTAGCTTAATGGTTAGGATTCTCGGCTAGTGTTAGGTAGGTTGTAGGATCGAACCCGACAGAGGTGAAAAAATTCTATCGCCAAATTACACTGGATTAGCCTCCGAGAGATTAATCTTTTTCATTTTTCACGGTTTCGGCGAGTTTCATCGTGCTTAATCATTTTATTCGGGGGAAAAGGGGCTCTTTTCCAACACCTTCTGTTACATGCCCCGGTTTTTGTGTGCCGCCAGATTGGAGCTGGAACAATCTCGATTCATTCTGTAAACCAGGCATTCAATAAAGCCTACCAGGCGTATATTCTTACATAACAATACGAGTAATGAGTAAACCCTTAATCCTTGGCAAGATTTACCAACCCGCGTAGTCGGAGGAGGCAACCCGCCCGCCCGTGACACCGTTAGCCGTACTTACCAACCCGCTTTGTTCGGATCAAACAGGAGTTGAGCTATGACGGAAACGAAATAGGCGGGTTGGTAAACATAGCCCTTTTCCTGGTTGCGGCCACTAGTCTCTTTTCTCCGTGTGGGTTCTTGATTTAAGCTTAAATCTGATTGAATCGAGAGTATTTTTTCTTTCCGATGTTTATAAGAGTCTGGACTCTAGATCCAATGTGTTTTTTTCCAGTGTAACCAAGAAAAAGCCTGCTCCGGGTGATATAGGACACCTTTTGCGATGAGACGTTTGACCTCAGATTCATGAAAGGTACTCTTGAGAGGTACTCTTACATGCGTCATGGGTGTCAAGCGTCATGCGATTAACGTACTTTTCCATGGGTGAAATTTTGCGAGCAACAAGATGGTGCCTAATGTTTTCTCTGAAACGTACTCCAAAGCTCAAAAAAAGCTCTCAAAGTTGAGGCTGTAATGAACTCCCCCCTTTTTTTTGTCACCTTGCTGCGCTGAGAGTCCACTTCTATACAAAGTTAAATTATCCATGCATACAGAGGGAGCAAATACATAAGCAGGGTTCCGGGAACCTTGCCAAAGTATTTGCTCCCTATCTGTGGATGGAGAGTTTGACTACATGGAGGTGAACTCTCAGCGTAACGTGGGCGGTCCCCTCCATAATGGCCTCAACTTTTATAGAGCTCTTTTCGAGCTTTGGTGTTCGTTCTACAGAAAAGCAGGGGCACCATCGAGTTTTTCTCAAACTTTTGACCGGGGAGAATTACTGATATACATTACCCCCCTCGCGCCGCGAAAATGTCCTAGTTCTGCCCATGCAATAGCTCCATTTCAGACATTTAGGTTCAAGATTGCTCCTAGGTATCCTTTTTGTCGAGTGCAAAGCGAGGACCATGGATAATGCCGTCTAACAATTTTGGCGAAAATTAGTAATTGACTGTACCGCATTTCACGGTGTAAACTATGCAAGTTGATATTTTTATTTTGTTCCAATCACTGGGGGAAAAAAACACATTGAATCTAGAGTCCAGACTCTTGAAAACATTGACAAGAAAAAGGACTCTTGATTCAATCAGATTTTCGCTTAAATCAAAAGGAAATCCGCTCAAATTAAGAGGCTTGGTTCTTGATTTAAGCTTAAATCTGATCGAATCAAGAGTATTTCTTCTTGTCGATGTTTTTAAGAGTCTGGACTCTAGATCCAATGTTTTTTTCTAGTGACTCTTCAGAGAAGCGTATTGTAATAACATTGTAACGTATGACAAAATTGCAGATCCAACCTCAAAAGTACAAAATCGACGATTTTTTTCCTCGTCTTGCAAAATTGTCAGTTTGCGCCTAGGCGGTATTGTTCCTTAGCTATAGATTCTCATTTGTTAAGTGGACGTACACTGAAAAAAAATTCTCGGCGTTTTTACCAAGGTCCGTTGGTATCTTTACCATCTCACTTTTTTGACCAATTATTGGTAATTTTACCAAGATAGACTGGTAAGCTTACCAAAAAACCGGTATTTTTACTGTTTTTTTCTGGTGAGAATACCACTTTTATTGGTAATCAATTCCCGGTAACTTTGCCGTTTTATCTCGGTAATTCTACCACAGTCGATAAAAAGTATTGGCATATTTACCGAGGTCCAGTAAAATTACCGAGAAAGTTCAATAATTTTACCGAGATTTCTCGATAAAATTACCAATTCCATAAATGGTAATTTTACCATGAAAAAACTGGGATCAAATAGAACCCTGAATTCTTGGTAATTTTACCATTTTCTTAGTAAATACACAGAGATTTTTTTTTTCAGTGTATCTCTATCAAACAGAACTATGTGCGGGTGGAAAAGATGGGGTGTGCTCGTGGCGAGGTGGATAAGAAACAATGTGGTCAGGGCGAGTAGGCGTGTTTCCTTTTGGTGAAATGGAAATGCGGGATTTTAAATTAAACAAACAGAACAGTGTGCCGACCAAATCCGGGACTCATAAGCCATGGGTACGGCAAAAGAGGGCTCATGAGTTAAAGCGGAGGAAGGGCGACAACGGAGACATTGCCGCTGACATCACTGGCGCTATGTAATTCCCATGTATTCGTATCCACCCGAGAACAAACGAGCTCACCCGATCCTTTCCACTCTCACACACATAGCTCTGCTAGGTAGAAACACGTCCAAGTGTAATACTGCCGTGCTAAGGAAAAACGTCGTATGAACCTTCAGACGTTGCCAAATTTCCTTTGATAAAACAAGAATCCCCTGGTAAACTTTTGAATATATTTCTTCCAATTTTTCAGATAATTTTGTTCGTAATGGGCCTGTTGCAAACTTTTGCTAGAGCAAAAATAAGAGTTGTTTCTTATAGATAATGCCTCAAAAATCACGATGAGCGCATCGACAAAGTCTGAAATGCACTCATAACTTCACAATCTGCGTAAGAAATTTGCGTTTTTTTATGCTTCCCGCTTCAAAAACGATACTACGGCACAAGTGAACATTTTGTTAGAGGAGTCGCTCCATCGTCGGCGATATTCATCATGGCCGACGCTTGCGCGCAGTTACGCGCGTAATTCGAGGAGAGTTCAAGGTCAATCAATTCGGGCATGGAAAACATGAACGTTAAAACACGCCGATTGTTATCTGGTCTAATCCAGTTCAGATATTATCTCGTCCCATCACACGTGTTTTGGCGGATTGGCGTCGGCCATGATGAGTATTGCCGACGATGGAACGACTCCTTTTAAAAATGTTCACCTGTGCCGTAGTATCGCTTTTGAAGCGGGAAGCTCAAAAAACCGCAAATTTCTTACGCAGACTGTGAAGTTATGAGTGCATTTCAGACTTTGCCGATGCGCTCATCGTGATTTTTGAGGCATTATCTAGAAGAAACAACTCTTATTTTTGCTCTAGCAAAAGTTTGCAACAGGCCCATTTCACCTGAAGTTCCTGAAAATTTCAAGGAAAAATATTCATAACTTTCCTTAAAAAATAAACATTTTATCGAAGGAAATTTGGCAACTCTCGAATGTTCATATGACGTTCTTCCTTGGCAAGGCAGAATAGTTGAGTACCAATAGTTCTCAAAAGGGGGGTATGAATGCAAGAAAGAGGTCAGAAGAGGTTAAAGCTGACTCTGACCTATTTTTGATCGCTGAGTCCGAATTTGATGTTTCCCACCTGATCCGCCTTGTGCTATTTCCGGAAAAGCTGGAAAACTGCCGAAATTCACGTTTTTAAGCGCTTTCCCGGAAATAAGTAGCTTAATATTCGTCGGAACGGAAAATTAGTTGTTAGCAAAGTTGTATAGCCAAGTAAATTTCTGACAAATTTGAAAGCAACAATTTTTACGTCAGGGCTTAAATTTAAGCCACCAGAGCCCGCGAAAGATTGAAATGGGCCGAAAATACGTTTTCTCGCCCTATTCCAGTCGTATAAATGAATGTCTGTTACAGGCACTGGTACCGATCCCGGACCATCATATATTCGCGGAAGTTTGGCAGCAGAATCGAAGGATTTTGAAAGACAACTCTCTCAATGACCGGTGCAGGGACAAACCGATTGATGAAGACGATGTTCGCTGTCCATGGCTTCTCCCATTCAACTATCGCATTGCAGGGGAGCAATGCAAGGATATGTGGGAAAAATTTAAGAATCTATCACAGAGAGAAGTCGACTATGCCTGTCCATCGCCCAGAGAGCCCAAGTGCCGACGATGCGGTAAAGTTCGTTTTGGGTGTACATTCATGTGCAAACCACGCGATGTAGAGATACGAGCAGACCAGTATCACAGCCGGCCGATCAGGCGAGTCCGTAAATGCAGACACGCCTCGGATATCGTAACGTTGTTGAATCTTTGAGATCGACCCCTAGGCCGACCTTTTGCCAGGGTTGAAATGTTTTATTATAAATAAAATCTTGAAATTTCAGGCGAGATATTTCATGAAATTTCAGAAAAATACTGAGAAATATTTTTCGAAATTGAATGCAAAATTAAATAAAAGGCGACTGGTTTTGGATTTTAGGTGTTTTTTAGGGCGCGTTGCATACTCAGCCCCTGAAAATATGTTTCATATTTTTCACGACTTTGTGGAATTTCACGAATTATTTCACAGAAATTTTCAATATCTCATGTTTTTTATTTCACCCGAGCAACCTTGCAGTTTACTGGACCTCCACGGCCGCAGTTAAAAATTTCCATATTTGTTGCTGAATCTTTGAGATCAACCCCTCGGCCGATCTTTTCCTGGACCTCCACTGCCGCAGTTAAAAATGTCCGTGTTTGTTTTCACTCCGCGTTACATTTTTTGTGTCAGGTCAACCTAAAAGAACTGGTTGCTCAACAAAATTATGTGTTGAATCAACCGAAATCATAGGCTACTCTGTGACATCGAATCATAAAGAAAGGGTCTTGCCGAACTTATGTACTCTAGTTGGACTGCGTTGAAGCAAAAAGGAACCAAGCCACATCAGCTATCACCAAATTTAACCGGGCCATCTAATTTTTAACATTCAAACTTTGGGCGGATTCTTGTGAAAATTTCAGTGAATTTTCTGCTTAAGTAAATTCTTTAAAATTTTCAAAAGAATTTTGCAAATTTTCAACACGAACATTTGGTTAATTTGACACACGGAAATCTAACATCGAAAAAAAAATCAACCGATAGCTTGTGCTACTTTGTGTTTACCTCTTATATTAACACAAGATTTTGGTTACTCTCTCAAACTCTGTGACAGCGTATTCGATAAAATTGATTGACAAACATAATGTAGGTTTTATATGCTACAGCGATTCGCATTGTAATTACTATAATGTGTAAAATTTCACAAGAAACACAATGGAGTCCCCGGCTTTCTCTGAAACAACCTCTCAAAGTTCTTCGTTCCCCTTACGAAAGCACGTAAGTGCATTTCTATGTTACCAAATTTACCCTCACAAATTGAATTTTTACTTAGAAAATCATTGGAATTGCTAATTGAAAATTTCACCTGTTTTTCTTCTGGCCACATGTGATGATCAGAGAAATGGACAAAACATTGCAAAGTTTGATCAAATGATAATAACAACACCAAAATATAGAAAGGAAAAAAAATATTTTCCTGAGTGAAAAATAACTGCGCAACTTTGCGATGGTTTAAAGCAATCTGAGAAAATAGGAAAAAAAACAAGCAGTGAACTCCAACACAATGTGTTGATAAGGCGCGTCATTAACTCGCACATATCAACCCCTTTAGTTTTCATTTACAGAGATTTCAAAATAGGCAAACAGCATAAAAAGAGAATTCACGATCCAACACTGCGAGGTCAAAGACGCACCTTGACGAGACCGTGTATTGTGAAAGTAGAAAGCTATTCGATCGAATTTAAGTTTTTTGATCTGCCTCAAGCAAAATCTTATCAGATTCTTGAAGAAAAGTGCTACGGAATAATTTAAGCGAAGAAAGGAAAAATTCTGTCGAACTCCTAGAAGATAAAGTCGATTTAAAGGTATTTTGGGGCTAAAATACCCAAATCACCGGTAGTAAAAATCCCGTTATATTATTGAAAAGAAATTGACTCGATATAAATGCAATTGCATTAAATACGTCTTGATTTTGTTATTTTAAACGTCTTTCCATGCAAAGAAGTTCAACCATGTCGTTGCTTTATTCATTCATGAATTGAAAGTAAGCAATCTACATCCCGAAAATCTACTGATTTGCCGTAAAAAATTGCAGAAACTTGATATACCAGGTCGATGCACCCACTCGTTGAATTTACCAACCAATTTTGTGAGTGCAAATGTGTAAGAATCAATATGCTATAGTCATTTTGGGTGCATTTATTTTTCATGAAACAATAATAATTTCAATCCCGAAAAACCATCAATTTTCCGTATAAAATCGAAAAAATCAAAATATGTCAACTCCCCGACGTGAAAATTAGATTCTACGTATGTAAAATGTAAATACTTATGTATCGATATGCTGAACAGAACTATGTGTGGACAGTCAGAAGCCCGCGGCAACATTAATTCAACAGAAAAACTGTAAAAATTAGATAGGATTTTAGCCGCTTTGCCCGCCTCTCCTCGCTACTTACAACAAACCGTTCTTATACTCATCTCAAAATTTTTCTCAGAGCTTTGGGTTATTATCAGCTTCCATTTAAACTCCGGTTCGATGGCCGAATCGGCTGCCAAAAAAGCAAGCCACTGTTGAGGGGTTCTATGAGAAATTCGTGATATTATCGGCTCTCAGGAAATCACCCCATGGCTAAAATTGGTGGTATAAATGTTTAAGTGCTTAAAATAATCGTATTCAAGAAACTAAGGAATTAAACTATGGAGTCAATTTCTTTTTAATAATATAACGAATTTACTACCGGTGATTTAGCTATTATAGCCCCAGAATACTTTTAAAGCGCCTTTGCGTTCCAGAATCTCGACGGAATTTTTTTTTTTTTTTTTTTTGCTTAAACGATTCAAGAAACATTGTAGTTAAAAATATAAAGATTTTTCGATTTGGACGTATGAAAAATGTTTAACTCGTTCAGGCACACCGTGTATTGTATGGAGTACTGCTGTTATTCGACCGTTGTCTTCAGGTCAAAATTCTTACAAAGAAGCCCCTTGCAAGAGGCAAATTTTTTGTAATTTCTCCCAGTTTTTTCAGCGTTAGGTATATAAATGAATTGTTTGTCAAATTTTGAGGTCAATTATATTTAATTGTAATTTATACTTTCTTTTTTTCCCCTTCATTTTATTTTTCGTATCGAGGAGTCGAGGTTTTGTTGATTTCTTCGGATTTCGATTACTGTAACTTCTCTTCTATTCGGCCGATTTTTATGAATGAGGTCTCTTTTTATTTGTGTTTTAACGGAGAGTAAGGAAAAAATTGCTAAATACATGCGAAACAATTTTTTTTGAAAATTGGATGAATCCTAGCGTGACGGTGAAATGGTTAATGAAGCGTGAGTAATTGGGGTACGGGTATCGGCCGCGTTGGGACCCAAGGCCCATTGTTCTTCGTGACGCCGACGCAGTGATCAGGAGCGTGGGGACGAGAGGGCTTAGTGGACTCCTGTATGAGCCACGTTTAGCAAATGGTCTAATGAGTCTCGAGGCTCATCACAGATTGCACTTACCACTATCCTGGTGGCCCCGGCTATCAGAGCAAGGAGTACCAACTTTTGAAAAGGATAACAGTGTTGTGGAGATATGTCAAAGCAACGTTGTGAACAAAACGGAGTGAGTGAAATTCTCATTCAAGGAGTGCCGAACTGGTCAGCCATCCTCGAATCAGTTCGCTTGCTTCCGCTTATATATGCATATTTTAAATCAGCGCGCCCCATTCTAAGGTTTTTTTAAAAAAAACCAAGAAACGTAGACTCTTGGTATTCATTACACATAAACTAGCGAGCCCCAGAATGAGAAACAAATTTTAATCATTATTATTGACGGATTAGTAAACTTTTTACACGCTTTGGAAAATCTCAGAAGTTCGCGGTAGTCACTTTTCGGTAAGGAACTAGGGGACTCGGTTATTGTATCGAGGGGGGGGGGTCGAAACGATGGGAAAGGCGGTATACTACGTATACGCGCCAATAATCTGCAATAATTGAATTCAAGCGAGCAACGGCAACATCGCAATAAATGAGCACTTGTAAATTTTTCGGAAAAATACCGATGAAGTTGCAAGAAAAATACAGTATTTAAAAACATTCGACTTCCAGAAAAGTTGCAGTGTTGCGGTAATATGGAATACTTAATTTCCTGAAAAAAATTTTACCGTAGCAGCATACAGGCTGATCCAAAATTCCTGCCCCATCTACACTAGGCATCACTTGTGTAACTTTTGAACAGATGAGGACTTTTTCGGTGAAAGGACGTATGAGACTTGACATGCTGATAAAATTGTGCGCATTTTTATAGCGTTTGCGGCAGATGAAACTCATTTACAGTTGACTTACTTCCAGGCCCGCCACATCCCATCTCGGGCCCTGGTACCAGTTTTAAGGTCCGGGCCCCAAGCACGGAGGGGGGGGGGGGGGGGTCCGAAAGGCATCTCCCGAGAAATTTCTAAATTAATACGACTAATCGGACTCATTTTGAAGCTTCCATAAAAAAATTTTCGATCAATTTCTGCGGAATAATTATGTTTTTTTTTATACTCCCAGCACATATTAGGTACTTGCGAATTGTTGTATTCAAAACATCTGGAAAATTTTTATTTTGGGGGGGGGTGGGCATATGATACTATTTTCAGTTCTAAGAGGGCCAGGCCCCCCTGTACTCCCCCTTCGTTTGTCTAGGGCAAGGGAGTTGAGCCATGAGCCATTGAAGTCGAGGATGCCCAGACTGGAGACCCTTAGCATCTGACGACGGAAGAAAATGAAACGCAGTTACTAAAAATATCCCTCTGTACTGAAAATCTTGAAAATAGATAGAAATTTTCCAAGAAGTATACTTCTTTGAAAATTTAAGAAGAATTCTACAGTGCCCCAGGCGTGTTTCTGAAATTCTGGCCTGGAAATTCACCTTTAGCGAAATTTTTAGGGTAAATTTTTCACTTTTTCTTACGAAACAAGGGTTGCATATGAATTCGTAGTGGTTTTTCACGGGTAACACGGGCCCCCTCCGGGGCCCGGGCCCCAGTACCAGGGACCCAGTATCCCCCCCCTTGTGGCGGGCCTGCTTACTTCCTCACAATAATGAGGCAAAACTTGGAGCAGATTCAGGAAAAAATTCATAGCAGCACTTTCGGACGAGTTCGTTAAAACTCTAGCAGCATTCGAGGTCACGGACGCCGTTTTACCGAAAAACTGAAGCGACGAAAAATGGATTATTGCAGTTTCTTTAAATACATGCTGGAAAGCTTACAGGGCTCAGCCCTCGCCCCTCCCAAGGTACCGTAAAGCTGTTAGGGACCCCCCTCCCCTCCTTAGAGCCTAATGTAATTCATGGAAGGCCCCCTTACTCCGGCCCAGATCTTTTCAATGTTAATTTTATGACCAGAATTTATAATTTTGGACAGTGGATGCCGATCGACAAGAGAGAGCCTGTTGCATAATCTTGGCATCGCCTACTGGGGAATTTCCACACTTCGGTTCGAAAGTTTTCAAATAGAAAATTACTAGAAAAAGTTG